AGAAAACTCTTCGCTGTTGAGATTGCTTAGGAGGGAGGAATTCAATATCTGCTCCAGATAAGACCCGGGAATAATAACTGCATCCAGTCGGGGTTCCCCGCATTACAAAAAAAAAGGGGTGTTCAGACTTTGGAAAAAGCGCAAAGCAGAGCAACTAAAGGGGATTAGAGGCCTGGAGACTAAAACATAGGACGAAATAAGCAGGAATGGGGTCTGGCCGCTCTAGAGAAAAGAAGAATAGAAATATTCCAGGATTTGAGGGGCTCCCCCAAAGCGGGGAGTGGGGGGTGTCAACTTATTTTCCAAATCACCAGAAGGCAAGATAAGAAACAATATGTTGGAAACTCATCCGGGAGAGGCGCAACCTGGAATGAGGCAGAAGCTTCCTAACCGTGAGAACCACGAACCAGTGGAACTGCTGGCCACCAGGAATCGTGGGCGCTTCGTCACGGGAGGTTTTTTTAAGGGGAGCCCGGACGGTTTACTTCTCTGAAATGGTCTAGGGTCTCCTGCTTGAGCAAGGGGATGGACTGGAAGACCTCCAAGGTCCCTTCCTGCTCTGTTTTGAGTTGCGCTTTCCCAGTGATCCCACGAAATCGCCTCCCTCGACGTTTGAAGCCCAGGGTTTTTAGGGTCTGCCTCCTGGAAGGAAGAGGAGGGACGCCCCCGTCCTGGGGAGCAGGTCCCACTTAAGTGCTTCACTTCCCTTTTTCCTATCCACGTCAGCCATTCACTCTCTTCCTTCCGGCGGCTGTTATGGATCCCATTTAAGTTCCTTTGGCTTTCCGACAAGATCGTTGCCGTTTTGCCTTCCCGTGTTTGCAGAAACCCTCATCTCAGTGGAAGCCTCTTTGAACTGGAAAAGCACCGGGTACTTTATTTTTATTTTTATTTTTGAGAGCTTTCCAGCTTGTCTTTTTCTTTGGCCGCCTTCCCAGGAAGATCCTTTGCACAGAAAAGAGTTCCTGTTATGAAACGAACTCTTCCCCGGATCGAGCGGCCGTATTTCCTCTTCTCCCTTTTCCAGGCAACCGGGGAATCCCAAAATAATGTCAAGGACCGTTTAGCTAGCCAGGTTCGGGGCGCGCTGCGAGTCCCAATCGGAAAGAAATAGAGGCGTGCGTAAAGCGGAGCTCTTCCATCTTGGCAACTTGAGGAGTTGTGGATGTCAATTCCCAGAATTCCTCAGCCAGCTTGTAGGTGGGGGAAAAAAAAGAAAGAAAGGAGGGAGGAAAGAAGGAAAGAAGGAATGTTGGAAAGAGGAAGGAAGGATGGAAAGAAGGGGGAAAGGAAGGAAAGCGGAAGGAAGGAAGGAAGGAAGGAAGGAAGGAAGGAAGGAAGGAAGGTTGGAAAAATGGGAAGGAAGGATGGAAAGAAGGAAAAAAGAAAGAACGGAAACCTGAATGAAGAAAGGAAGGAAGAAAAGTTGGAAAGAGAGGAAGAATGGAAAGCAGAAAGGAGGAAAGGAAAGGAGGGAAGGGAGAAGGAAGGAAAGTTGGAAAGAGGAAGGAAGGATGGAAAGAAGGAAAAAAGGGGGGAGAGGAAGGAAAGCTGAAAGAAGGAAGGAATGTTGGGAAAATGGGAAGGAAGTTGGAAGAAGGAAGGATGGAAAGAAGGAAAAAAGAAAAGGAAAACTGAAGAAACGTTGGAAGGAAAGAAGGAAGGATGGAAGGAAGGAAAAAAGAAAAGAGGCAAGAAGGTGTTTTGGAAAATCAGGAAGGAAGGAAAGTTGGAAAGGAAGGAAGGGTGGAAAGAAAAGAGAAAAGGAAGACTGAATGAAGAAATGTTGGAAGGAAGGAAGAAAAAAGTTGGAAAGAGGAAGGATGGAAGGAAAAAAGAAAAGGAAGGAAAGAAGGAATGTTGGGGAAACAGAAAGGAAGGAAGGAAAGTTGGAAAGAGGAATAATGGAAAGAAGGAAAGAGGAAAGGAGTTGAGGGGGGGGAGGAAAAAAGGATGGAAAGTTGGAAGGAAGGAAGGAAGGAAAGAGGAAGGAAGGAAGGAAAGGAAGGAAGGAAGGAAAGAGGAAGGAAGGAAGGAAGGAAAGGAAGTCTCTAAGTGGCATAATGTCAGAGGGATATCAATTCTTGGCAGCCGGGGCCTGGCATATTCCGGGGCAAAGCTACGCCCAGGAGCCCCTGAAAAAGCCACGAATGCAGCATTGGCGGCGCAGGGGCTCCTGAAGGATCTCCTTTGTCATCAGGGCCCATTGCCCAAGGAGGGCCCGCCGTTCCCTGCGCGGAGCAGCAGCGGTGCCAACTTTGCACCCCCCCTGGCCCAGGGCAGCTCCGGTCAGAACTCCGGAGGGCTGGTGCTGCGGGTGAGGTCACAAGCAGCCCTTCTGGAACTCTGCGGTTGGCAGAAAGCAGCTGCCCGTTGCTGCAGAGGGCACCCTCCTCCCCGGGGGCAGGGAGAGGGTGCCCTTTTGAGGGGACCCCGGGGGCTCCCCGGAAGACCCATCCACCAAGCCCGAAGCTAAAAGATGCCACATCCCAAACAGCAACCCATTGGGCCACCTGCTGCGGGAGAGGAACAACGAAACAGGCTCCAGGTGCGTCTCGGGATGATTGGGTTGGCATGGCCAGGTGGTACCAAGCTGGCAGGAATAGCCAACCCCCCGGAAGATACGCTCAAGATCCAGAGGGATCTGGACAGACTTGAACCCTGGGCCCTATCTAACAGAATGAAATTCAATGTAGAGAAAACTAAAAGTCCTACACTTAGGCAAGAAAAACCAAAAGGACACATATAGACTGGGTGAAACCAGGCTCAATAGCAGGAACTGGGAGAGGGATCTTGGAGTCTTAGTGGACAACCAGCTAAATAGGAGCCAGCCGTGTGCAGCAGCAGCCGAAAAAGTCAACGCAATCCTAAATTGTATTAACAGAGGGATACAATCGAGATCAAGGGAAGTACTAATACCACTCTATAAAGCCTTAGTAAGGCCACACCTAGAGTCCTGCGTCCAGTTTTGGTCACCACATTATAAAAAAGAATTTGAGACTCTAGAAAGAGGGCAGAGAAGAGCAACCAGGATGATGAGGGGGCTGGAGGCTGAAACATACGAATAACGGTTGCAGGAACTGGGCTTGGTTAGTCGAGGGAAGAGAAGGACCAGGGGGGGCAGGAGAGCATCTTCCAATATTGGAGGGGCTGCCCCAGAGAGGAGGAGGAAGGGGTCAAGCTGTTCTCCAAAGCCCCCGAAGGCCAGAGAAGGAAGAATGGATGGAAACTGATCCAGGAGAGGTTCAACCTGAGAAATGAGGAGAAATTTTCTGACAGGGAGAACAATCAACCCATGGAATAGAAGTTGTGGGAGCTTCATCACTGGAGGCTTTCAAGAAAAACGGGAAGGCTGCCCTCTTAATTCCAAAAAAGACAGAAAATGAACCAGACTGGGGGCAGGGGGAACAGTCATTTTCCTTCCCCCCCCCCCAATATTTTTTTAATTTCAATCTGCATATGCAGAACAATACATTAACAGTGTGGCATCAATATATGTTTTAGCACTGGCAAAATTAATAATACCAATCGTATCTCTCAATGCACGTATTTCACATTAATTCATAATCCTTCAATGCTTATTTTCAACCTTTCAAAACTTTCTCCAAATGCCTACCACCATATCAGTTAAACATACCTAGTAATTCAATTATTCAATTTTTCTCCCTGCTTTTATTTTATTTTTTTAAAATAAAAAATTCTCATTTGGCAAGCAGTGAGGTTCCAGGTTTCACATCTCAATACAAACATGACCATAGTTACCTGTTCATTATATTTGTTTAGTTTCATATTGCATCATCCTTATTGTTAAATTGTTTATGCTTATCTTGTCCAATTCCAATTCATGTTATTTTAATACATTCTCATATCTTATTTTACAATGTTATCTAAAATTCTCATCTCATTTCTGTTGTCATTTCTCATATTACTTTTTTCTGTCACATTTTGTCATTTTATCAATTCTTATCTGTAAATATAATTATCCCCTCTGGTTAATAATTCGAGCTAACCACCTTCATTCTACCTTTAATATCAATCTCCTTATCTAGTATATAACACAAATGTATGTATGTATGCATGTATGTATGTATGTATGTATGGTATTCAGCTTTGTTCGGGTATTTTCCCACGTCATTGTAGTTGTGCTTTTAAAGTTGGAGCAACGTTTCGGCAGAATCTCCTCTGCCATCATCAGGCTTCTGTATTGACTCACAGACAAACACAAGACAGAAGCCTGATGATGGCAGATGAGATTCTGCCGAAACGTTGCACCAACTTTAAAAGCACAACTGTAATGACGTGGGAAAATACCCGAACAAAGCTGAATACCATATATATATTTATATATTTATATATATTTATGTCAGATTCCGCATTATATTTTATCAAACACCTTATGAATTATCTATACATTACAAAATACTATTTTCAATATATTCTTATACATCACAACATATTACCTTGCGGAATCTCCTTCCTTACCCTTTTTTGTTTCACCCATTATCTCTCATACTTTGGACAATATACTTTCTTTTCATCCTTGTTTGTTTCCTGTTCCTCTTTGTTTTCTCTTAATTCCCCTTTTTCCCATTCTTATTCCCCTCCATTTCTCATTCCAGTTATTAAACTTTTCTCTCGCCCTCTTTTGCTTTTTGTCTTTTGCCCTTTTTCTGCTTTTTCCCCTCTCCCTTTATCCATTTTCCGAACCATTCCCTCTTTTATCATCCCATCAAGACCACAATTTTTTAGTTCTAATTCCTTTCTTCCCCGTTTAAATAATTGTTGTTCGTTTTGTTCTTCAATGTTGGCTTCTTCTTTATAGAACTCCTCCCTCTCTGGTTTATTTTGTTCTTGGGTATGCTGAGCCACCATTTCTAATTTCTGTAGTACATAATTGCGTGCACACATGTGCATGCCGGCCCGCCACATTATGTGGCCCAGTTGTGAACAGGTCACAGCCCAGGGAAGAGAGGGGGGTGGATCGGGGACCCCCCCCGGTCTGACTTTATCTTCTGGTTTTCCTGCAGGGCTAGGCCCCAGCCCCAGCAGCCTGTGGAGGAGCCGGAAGCTGAGATGTCGAAAGGCAAAGGTAGGAAAATGGCGGAAAGGGGACCACCGGGAGATCCGAGCCTAGCTGGCAGGGACGACCATAGCCACTTCTAGCTGGAGTAAGAAACTTTTCATGAGGCCATTGTGACGTTAGCCGACAAACAGTTGTTAATCAACGACTACCCATACAGGGTAGTCCTTGATTTGCGTCCAATGGTTCAAAGTCACAACGGCCTCGGAAAAAGCGACTTACAACCTGCGTTCACACACACATGAATCACCAGTTCAGATGCTTGACCACTGACTCACTTAATGACTGGCTCCAACGTCCTGCAACTGTATTTTTGCCAATTCCTGGCAACCCGCCAAGTCCACAGGGGAAGCCAGATTCACTTAACAACCGCATGATTCCCTTAACAACTGCCCCTGGGAAAGAAAGGGCAGGAAAAAAAATGGAACAAAGCCCACTTAACCAATGGGCTCCATTTGTCATCGTAAGTCGAGGACCCCCTGCAACAGGGTGGGAAGCGGATTTGGGGGAACATGGGGAGGAGGGTTTTCTCCTCGTGACCGTCGTAGAACAGGACGGCGTCCTTGCTTGCTCCCCTCCAGGGCCGGCTCCCAGTGCTGGGGGTCTGTGGACCACCAAGCGCGACGGAGAGGTCAAGCTGCGGATGGACCAGAGCGGCATCGGCTCCGAGACCCCCATCACTGTCCATGACCTCTTCCTGGCCACCGTGGAGAAATACGGCCACTTGCCGGCGCTGGCTTCGAAAAAACAGGGCCGGTGGTTCAAGTTGACCTTCCGCCAGTACTACGAGGAGTGCCGCAAGACTGCCAAAAGCTTCCTCAAGGTCTCAGGGCGGGGGTTGGGGTTGGTGGGGGTGGGGATGGGGGGAGAGAATTGGGGAGGGGAGGGTGGTACGCGCACCGCATCGCCATCAGTTCACGTGAGCCCCGCGAGGTAGGAGGGCCGTGGAAGGCGGCTGTCAGCTCAGAAATATTTCTCTGGTCTTTTGGAGTTGCCAGCAGAAAAGTGGGTGGGAGCAGCAGTGCATTCCTTAAATGCTTCAGATAATTTCTGGGCGGCTGAAGCTTCTGGCACGCAAGATTATTACGGGGGAGCCTGAGTGATGGCTCTTGGCTATGGATGTGTCCCATTGGAGGATACGTTCAGGGTTTTGCAGCGTTAATTCAGCGCCAGAAAAATTAAAACCCCGATGGCTGACGCTTCATTTAACATCTTTATAAACATAATACGTAGATTTGACAAACCGGTTGTAGATTTCTCCAACACGGAGCAGACTCAGACAGAAACAGGTTGCAAGTAAGTAACTTCAGTAGCAACTCAGGAGCTCAGAAACAGACCTCAGTTTCCCTTTAGTTCAGCAGGCAAGCAAGTTGGTTGGTTTCATCTTCGACAGACGAGACTCTGAACTCAACACAGCTGCAGACCTGCAGAGCTTAATACAGAGCCACGCCTAGGCGACTTTTAGTTTCAGTTTCCAAACAGTCCTCCTTGGCTGACTGGTTGCTGTGCCTATTCCTTGGCTGGCCTTGTTAGCAAGCTCTATCCCAGTTCATGAATAGACTCTTGACAGAATATACATCCAAGGGGTGCAGGGAAGACCAGGGTCAATGAATGGTGTGTCTCAGAGCCGGCTGCACGCAGGTCATGCTGACATGGTCATTCTTAATAAATCATCTTGCAGCTAGAGATTTGAAGTGGGGGGGGTGGATTGTCGGAGCCCTGACAGCGGCACTGGCTGGCCTTGGGACTCTGGGGGGTGGTGGCGGCATGGATGTTTCCAGCTTTGGGGGAGGGGGAGGGGCAGTGAGTGCTCTGAAGGGGTGGGGGCGTCGAGGGGGAGGAGGGGTCTCGCTGACGTCTCTGCTTTCTCCCCCCCCCCCCCCCCCCCCCCCAGCTGGGCCTGGGGCGGGTCCACCGCGTTTGCATCCTGGGCTTCAACTCCCTGGAGTGGTTCCTGGCGGACGTCGGTGCCATCTTTGCTGGGTGAGACCACCACACAGGTCGCCCGGCCTCCCCCGTTGGGGGAGGAAAGAAAGCGGGGGGGCAGCCCCCACCTGGAGAGATGGACAACATCTCCGATACCGAGGAGGATTCGAGCCCAGCCGCTTCTTCCTCAGCCCCTCCCTCCCCTTCCGCTCTTCTCTTTGAGGCTTCCGGTCGGGGGCGAGGGGAGGGGTCTCCGTCTCAGCCCCAGCCTTTAAAGGGGAGCCCCTTGGAGCTCCTCCTCCCTTCCTCCTTTCCTTTTTTCCTTCCTCCTCATTCTCCCTCCCTCCTCCTCCTCCTCCTCGGCACTTGATGGCATGACCTAGTTGGGTCATGAAACGTCGGCAAGGAAACCACCCAGCTCAGAGAGCACCAAGGACCCTCACAGTCCTCCCCCTCCTCCGGCGGAAGTGGGAAACTGACCCGGGTGGATGGGTGAGGGGCTTTCCTCGGCACGGGGGGGGGGGGAACAGTCACTAGCCACAATTTTCCTCGCTCCCCGAGCCCCATCGGTTGGAAGCACCGGAAGTCTCCCAAGGGTGGAAAGCCACGCAAACCCCCCCCCCAAATGGCAGCGAGCCAATCTCCCCTGGGTCTCTGCCAATTGGGGGGGGGAGAGAGGGGTGGGCTTTGAAACGGTCTCTTTGCAGGGGTTTTGCCGTCGGTATCTACACCACCAACTCTCCCGAAGCCTGTCACTACGTGGCGGAGAATTGCGGGGCCAACATCATCGTGGTGGAGAATGACAAGCAGCTGCAGAAGATCCTGGAGGTGAGAGCCAGACAGGGAAGGGCGGGGAGGGGGGGCTTGGGAGGTCTTCTAGCCCACCCTCTGGCCCAGGAGAGGGTTGTTCCTGAGGGCTTCCAGGGATGGAGCAGCGACGTCTCTGGGTGTTTGGATGTGGCCCACCCAACCTTTTGAGACGGAAACTCTCGCTCTCTTTCCCCCGGCAATATTAAGATGGGCGGACTTCAACTCCCAGAATTCCCCAGTCAGAGCTCCCGGGGGGAAGAAGGAAGGGAGCTGAGAGGGAGAGGAGGGTGGGGGTAGAGAGGGCCGAGAGGCAGAGCCTGGGCCATCCGTCAGCCCTCAGAGGGAGAGTCAACAGCCCCCAGGTGTGGAGGTGGCTGATGAGGAAGAGGAGGAACAGCCGGGTCCAGTGCCTGAGGATGTACAGGAGACAGGAGAGGAGAGGAGAGCAGTGGAAATCTATGGGCCGGTCCTTGGGACGGAAGAGCCATGGCTGCTA